CGCAAAATGGTCCATAGTATATGCAACGTTGTTCTAGACAGGGTTTTTTATGCAAAACAGCATTATATTATTTTGCGTAATTTTAACAATATCGTCCAGACTTTTTTCAGCTAAGTTTTTCAATGCAAACTATTAAACACACTCGTGTCCGTTATTTATAGACGATTGGTTCTTCTGTGCCGTGCCCAACCGAAACCGAATCGCCTGTATTTAGCACCTGTCGCGCTTAACCTATTCCTTTCTTAGTTTTCAATAAATAATAAATCTGATTTAGATATATTTGCGCATAAAGTATGCATAAATGGAGTAAATATTAACCGATGAGCTCAAATGGTAGAGCAGAAGTAAGGTTCGTTATGGCCCTCGTTTTTAATCTCGACCATGTCGGTTTATATTTTTCAATCTAAAATAGAATTTAATTCTAGAGCTTTTAGGATTGAGCGAAGGCGAATTTTTATTAGAACGTAAAGTCAAAACGCGATTCGTAATAAATTACCGTCGATATTGAATATAATTTTAAAACTCATTGAAAATTGTGCAAAAAGAAACCGGCTTAACCTGTTTTCAGTTGCAACTCCTAGGACGAATTACTCGCTGTAAAGCACTTACTATAATTTCAGTTAAAGGTCGTTCGAGAATAAAATATTAAGGACAAGTATTTTTAACATAAATTACATTTCGTTTACCTACCATACGCTTTCTGATAGAATGTTTCATTTGAAAACTTTAATATTTTTCACATGTTATGGCACTTGGTTGGAAAAATGTACACATTTTATATATGCCATTATTGCACATAAGAACACAAGACAAAGATTAAAGTTTTCATTTTAGGACACGATAGCTTAATTGCCGGTAAAAGTATTGCCCGTGACGTAATATTTGTTCAATCTAAAATCGATTTTTAACTTATTTCTATAAGTTAAAAATGGTTCATAATTTTCAATTTGAAATTTGCATATTTGGGCGAGTTTTTAGTAACGACTCCCGTTTTTAGAAAGAAAAGAGATATATATTTGACTATTTACACGCCAATACAACACAAAATAAATTGAAAAGAACTAAGGCCGTAAATTCAATAGTACACAGAAGTTCTGACTTTTGTGTTTCCTATGATACCTACATAGTAAGTAGATTCTCGTCTTTTAGAAAATAAATTAATAAAATATATTTTACATCTTTCTTTGTCCGTCTTGACTTAAATCTTAGACTAAGTGTGGGTTATACTTTAAAAATAAACGGTCCTCGCCCTCATCAGCGAAGGTGGTCAACGTAGATGTTCACTGACCTCGTGAGCTCTATATCAGATCCCTACTGTTGTTATCCGACACTTAAAAGAGTAAAATCTTAGTCTTATAGTAGATTAAAATGTCAAATTTTTGGTTACGAATTTCGAAAGGCAAGCTTTAGAACGGTCACAGAAATAAATACTACAAGCCTGGTTGATTGAACTTTTCACCTCACAATCTTCATAACCTAATCTCATGAAATGGTCTATCCTATGGTCAGTAAAATGAAAGCGAAGAATGATGAAAGCGTATTATTATAATATGTGTTTTAAAAGTGAAACTCGCAAATAGTCTTTTTAAATTTATATTATATAATATACGTTATATAAGATTATATTATATGAATTCTTAACAAATATTAAGAAATTATTCATTTAGATAACAGGCAACGGTTTCTCACACTTAGTTAAAACTCTACAAGTGAAATGTGAAATCTTGTTTAAGCGGGCCACTGATTTATTTATCAGGAGGCCATAATGTTAATATGGTTTTTCGTTATAACAAGGTAAATGACTAGCCAAATCCTGAGAGTGACGACGTTGTGTAATCAAGGACAAGTTATATAATCAGGATCTGGACCCGTGACAAGTTTGAAAGTGGTTACGCGGGGCAAAGTCTGAATGCAGGTATTTCACAATTTATAGTAATTTAATTAATGCTTTCGTAAAACTTGTTTTGCGTCCTAGCTAAAAATAGCTGAGTACTAATAAGAATTTACTATCGTGATATGAAATGTGTCCTTAATGAAACAAATAATGTTGTGAAATCATTAACATCGCAAAAACTTATAAAGACACAAAAATACTTCAGATTTTTCTACTTTTTCCCTACCCTGTGTGTTTTTAAATCTATAAAAAAATATCCCGTAGCACATGTAGTCAAACAACTTTTTCTAAAACTTACTTAGAAGAAGTCGTTACCTATTAAGTGCAAACTAAATAATTAAATTCTTTTAACCTACCACCATCTTTAACAAAACTATCATGTATCAGGAACGTTTTGTTGCAAGCTTAAAACAACAATACTCAGATTCGTACCATGGCCGATATAAAACAATAATGTTTTAATCCTGCGTAGAGATTTAAAAGAACGAATGATGGTCTATTCCCTGCTGAAGGAGAAAGCGAGATAGCTAATCTTTTTCGTATAGCGTCACTTTCGCACAGTGTTCCGAAACACACACTTACAGTTAAGGTTTTGGATTTTTGGGTACTTAACAATTTTTAACCATATACTTAAGTGTAAAGTAAACGTTAAATTTTAAAACTTAATTTTTTACATAAAATTAATTCTTATCACAAAAATTAAGACAATTGTATGTCAAGAACACGGAGCTTCGCTGTTTTGATTTCGTGAAACGTTGTGAACTTTTATTAAGTCGTGACGAGGTGTCAGTGAAATTCGGCGCGGCAACGCTTGAATATTCTAAAGTTTGTTTGTTTAAAGTAAATTGCAAATTTTACATATCTCAATTTTAAAATGTCAGTCGGAAAGTAAGTACAAGTTCAAAATAGTGTTTTTATAATTTATTTAGTTTATTAAACCAAGAAATATCTTTCGTTTGGCTGAAAGTTCTCGTCGCTAAATGGCTAAAGTTATGTGTTCTAATTCTTTGCAGCATTGTAGCTCGTCAGGTTTCGGGACGTCTTTTGTCGGAATATTTAATTTCTAACAAAGATATAGCCACTGCCTACAGCCGCTATTTGCACATCTAATTTTGGATTTGCTAATTTTGACAAAAAAACAATATTGCTAACTGTTAAAAGTCAAGTAGTGGTACGCTTTGAGTGAATGTTTTGCGGTGACGTCACGAAACAATATTAAAATAAGCTTATTTTTAAAATGTCATGGTACGAAATTTGAATGTAAGATTATATTAAAACTGATTTAAGAGATGGTGGCATTCCCCCTGATCGATATAATAAGTTGCCTGTCAGTATAAAACAATCAGTCACTTAACATCTCCAAAAATGTCTACTAATAAGATACTATAAATTACTTAAATATACCAACATTAGCTTTATATTTACATATGTAAATAATCATAACATATGTATGCAATAAAAAGTCTTTCACCCACATCTGGAATAGCTGGATATTTTAGTACACATAGCACATGGTAGGTAACACAGTCCAATTGAAATCCTAATTCTGATTCTATAAAAAATGTTTGAAAGCAACAAAATAAATGAAAATTCAAAACTACTACCACCATAGTTTTGAATATTTAAAATCATTACTACTTTTCTACAATTTCCAAGGATATGTTTACTTATTTTTTTATATATTAGATGGTTTTAGTACTGCCGCAGTAAAAGAATCACAAAAAAAATACAAATGTATTAAATATGTATGTATTGTATTTGTAAGTAAATACCTAAAATTTTAAAAAGTTTATTAGAAATAGAATAATATTTCTTTTTCTGACATTATTTTGTATTTGATTTCTTTATTGATTAACACATATACTCAACGGACATGAAAATTGTACACATATGCCATTCATAGTACATAGAATACAATAAATAATGACTATTTGATTAGTGCTGATAAACTGAGTCGCATGACATACCATAAAGTTTGCTACTGATAATATAAAACAATATGATTGGTTCTGAATAATTCGCACTATGCATTTATTTTTACTGATATATATATATATATTATAGGTCAAATATGGGAAGAAGTAACCTTTACTTAATCCTTAATGCTATATATATTACTACTTATTGTTTTATATATGCGTTTCTCTGTTGTATTATAAAATTAAAGACAGATATAATGGATGGTCAAATGGAACAAAAAATGTCTTTACAGTAATTTATAATAAATTGAACTCACCTCTTAATTCGGCAATGCAAGATGAGTATATTTTTTCAATCAGCGAGCGACAACTTCGCCAAATGGACACAGGCTATTATTAAGTTTTATCAATGACACAGTTAATTCACAATAATATAATTTTAAGGTTCACATTTGCTCTATACAATATAACGCAAAGTTTGAAACTTTTGTGAACTTCAAACTCGTATTAAAAACTTTCATACCACAACTCAATGACAACCCATTGACAGATGCTGGCCGACGGCCAACTTTTATCTTTTTTTAAATTGAGATAACTAGCATCATAGCCTTATATTTTGACAAAAAGTGACATTAAGGTTTTCATAATAACGTTAATCAGGTTATGTAGTTTTTTACATATAATAATAATATGGTATAAAATTCGTTATCAACTTTATTTTTTCAGAATAATATACGTTAAATATATTTTTTAAGATCGATGCATTAATACCAAAGGCCACAGATGTAGAAGCACCCAGGTTATGTAACATAGATATATTATCAACAGCCTTGTCCAACGGAATGTCAGAAATGAAAATTAAGTAATAACACTTTTTTTGCGTCTGAACTTGTGATATAGTTTATTAGTCCATCGTGGCGATAAATAGTGCATATAAACTTACAAATTTTCATTAATATCTTTCTTAATCCAATTTTAATCTGTGATCTTCAATAATTAATAAGTTTCAGTATTATCTGTGTCGGTTGTCAGAAAAAGAAAACAGCTTGTTGACAATTACATACAAATCGTAATAACTTTTTTAGTATTAGCCGTGTAGCATTTCTATTGATTTTTGAAGTTAATTTAATTACAACTATTTTATTGATGGATAAAATCTAATGTATAATAAATGGTAACTACCCGTCATGGTTTCGACGCAGGTGAACGAGGAGGAATTCTGCCGAACTTGCCTGGCTAAGGAGATTGATTTAATTTCAATTTATGAAGTGTATATTGAGAATATTACTATAGAAAACATCATCACAACTCTTACTGGAGTTAAGGTATTAAGAAATGTTGGTCATTGAGCTCAGCGTTATAATTTAGCGTAAATATATCGTGCGAATATTACCTGTAATCTGCAACTGCAAAATTATACTTCCTGTGTTGTTAGCGACTGTTGTCATAAACCTTTTGGTATGCTAGCAATATTGAAGTTAAAAGTAGTTAGTACTTAGCTTTGTTAATCTTTGATTATTTCATATAGATAGAAAGTGGTGATGGCCTGCCGACAGTACTGTGTTATATGTGTAGGAAGAAAGCCACTAAAGCATATGACTTTAGACAACAGACCATAGAAGCTGATAGAAATCTACGAAAGAAGAAGAAGATCAACCCAAGAGACAATAATCAGTTTGAGGTAATACATGTTTATATATCATTTCATTATGCTCATGACATCCTGTTTCAATCAGGTATGTCATCGGTATCTATTCAACTACCTGTCAGTATTCAGAAATAGAAGATGATTCTACTATTCACTTGAGAATTTGCTATATATAGACTAGACTACATAAGTTGTGTGCTGTCGTGCTAGCCATGATTATCCCTTACAATGTTTAAATCGGTTGACTCATTCATAGTATCTTAACATGATAATAGAAGATTACCTTAAAATAGTGATATAAACATAAACATATTGAGTTGTTAATAAACTAAATCAAAACTGCTTTACAAACTTTACTTTTGTTTTACCAATTTTAAATTCCTCTCATTATTAGCATCGGCACCTATGATCTTATTTTGTTTTTCATAAATACTTCTTTGGGCTTACAAGAATCCAGTCAAGTCTGAGCAAGCTGTATCAAATGGAGAGGATGATGATTTGGATATTGAATTTTTACTGGACTATAACAATGACCCTGACTCACCAGGTAATAAAGTAACTACTAAATACATTCATTGTTGTCTTATTCAGTCTGGTTTGTTAAATAAGTTTAATAATATTTTTCATAATCAGTTGTGTTTCAATGTTTCAGAAAGCATTAAAGTGGAAACTAAAGAACTGCACATAAAACATAAGAAAACAGATAAAAAATTTGTGCCAGGTATGTAATTTTTTTTACTGCCCTAATAGTGCAATGGTTGAGTATTGAATAATACATGAGAATTACTAAATTTGGATCAGGGGAGAATAACAGTTTTGGTCAGACAAATCAAAAAAGTTTAATTAGCTACATGCTTTTAAATATAATCAATATGTAGAAGACAGAAACAGGTATGCCTCTCATGCCTACCCAAAAAGTGAAATGGGATTACACATAAAAAAATAAACTACAGGAATTAACAAAGGCTGCCTTTGTGCCTAAATTATTATTTTATAATCTAAGCGTTAACTAGGCAGTAGGCCTTAATTTAATTTATTTGTGTTTTCTCATTGTATTGTGTTGTATTAGTGATACAAATAATTTTGGCAAAACATCTAAAGACAGAAAAAAGTATTTTAACCAATTTTATAATTAGTTGCAAGCTAATGTGTGGATAAATATAAGTTATGGTTAAAATTAGTGTTCTCTTGTTATAGATCCAAAAGATGGTGGGACCTACTGTCCCCTATGTGCCACGAGTTTTGGAAACGCAGACGGGTTGACAAGTCACATGTGGGAGCACCATGCTGATATAATGGGGCCTAAAAAGAGGGGGAGACCCAAGAGGCTTGGCACAACGGTAATTTTATTGCTATTGCATACCCTAAGCTGTAGTGAGGTAGTGGTGAGTCAAATTGGAGATCATATTAGAAATACGCTCTTCATTCAGAACAGGGGGAAGAACTGCCACATTCTAGAACCAAACATTTGATTATATTTGAGATCTTAGCAGCTTACATTGCAATGACCATGGCATTAAATATATGTCAGTATGAAGCAATGAGTTATTAGTAGTTGATAATGCATATTGTTTTATGAAAATAGTTCTGACTTTGATTAGACCCTGTGTCATATTTTTTTAATCCTTAATGTTAGTATGTGTTTTTCAGGCAATATTAAATAAACTTTCTGAGAATGGAGTGCATGTGAAATGGGTAACCGATATGAAGTTTGAGTGCAATTTCTGCTCGGAGCATTGCAAATCTAAAGATGACCTTGATAAACACGTATTGGACAGCCACACAGGTAATAATAAATGTTATAAAATAAAATTGTGTAAAAGTATAAAATTGTGTAAAAAATGTTTTGCCATTTCTTTCTAGTTTGCAAGATAAACAACTAATTGTTAAGTCTTTTACAACTTATTATAAGTGTATCTTACTTTGCTTGCATAGATAAAAACAAACTGGCTTAAACTGGTGTTAGCAGTGGAAAAATGCTTGTTATGTGAGAGAAACAGGAGATTGACTTATCTACTCAGTAGTATTTGCTATGTGAGGAAAAAACATTATGACACTAGAGTTTTATATATTTTTTGTTGTTTTTTAGATATGAAGTTAGTTAGTTGCTTGCTCTGTAAGAAGGTGTACTCTAAACAAGAAGATTTCAAGAAACACAATTGTGCCTACGATAAGAAAGATGACAAGACCGACGCAAATGTACGATATTTTAAGTATAATTTTCTGTTTCTCGGTACTTCTAAGTCGCTCTTCTGGTTGGTCTAAGCCTCTTTTCAATGTAAGATGAGGCTAGTACCCAAAAGATTGAATGCCAACTCTGATATTTCCACTGATGGGACTTAAAGATCTTATTATATTTATAATTCTAGGGTCTATGTCCGAAGGCGTAAGACCTAATTTATCACTGTGAATTCAGATGTAGCATATTTTTCACAGGAAGCTGTGAACGAATCAGAAAATGTAAATAAGAATCCCTTAAGCGGCGAAGTTTTGCTGCAAAGTGTTATATCGCAAGTTCCTGACACGGTGAGTTGTAGTTTGTTGCTAGATCTCCGTTTCCATGTCAATAAATAATTTGATTACAGATAAGTCAGTTGGTCAGTTTATTATATTTTTAGTGTTTTACTGCTTTTTTTTGCGGTGCAATTTAAGCGAATTTACTGCTTTGCTTATGCAGGGCTTGTATCCACTAAGCTATGAACAGATTTATTTCACTGCTTTTCATCTATGGATGGTGGATTGAAATATTCTTACCAATACCAAGCAAGTAATACCTAGGTTACGAGACGAAGTACAACGTGTTTAAAAAAAACATTAATTTGAGAAACATGTACGAATCGAACCTACGACATGTTAGTAAGTTAAGTAGTTAGCTATCATTAGCTCTCCCAGTCACTATTTATCACAAACCAGTACAATAATTTGATTAATATGTATGTAATGGATGTTTTAAGCATTACTATATATTTGAATTCCAGGAGTGTGTCTCAGATATATGTGTGTGTGAGTACTGCGGATGTGTGTGTGCTGGTCTGGAACATCTCGCCAGGCACAAGGATGATGAGCACCCCGATCTATCGCCTCGTTGCCATCTCTGCTACAAGGTATAAATAACCTTGACCGGAATTTGCTTTATTGAAAAGTGCTAAGGTAATATGCAATATTACATCAGTAACGACCGGACGATCTCTTAGATCGAATAAAAAAAATTGAAAAATGAGATGGCTTAGCTACCTGTCTGTTTATAATATGAAAATCAATACTTTATATGCTATGGTACAATTTTTATTATTACTTAAACATTTTTTACTCTTTTTATATTATTTATTCAAATGTTTTTTATTTAATACATTTAGGTTAAAAATCAATACGTTCTATACGCTAATACGCTGCAATAAAGACAGAAAAACTAACTTTTTCAGGTGTTCGCATCACTCAAGTCAGCGGCGCGTCACCGCTCGTCATGTAAACAACGGGAGCGCACGCTTACCTGTACGACGTGTGGTGCGCGCTTCGCCCACGAGGTGTCGCTCAACAAACACATACTGCGCACGCACCGCGGTCAAACGGTCACCGTTCGATTCACGCCGGATCGTAACTCGTCGTATCGTTGCGATATTTGCTCTACTAAGTTCTGTCGGTAAGAAATCGGAAATTGTATAAGTTCTGTAAAAAATACAAGCTATTGCTGCAACTTCGTAGAGGATAGTTATTTTGACCATAAACATTTGTTTTTGCAAATCCTTTGTAACAGATCGTATAAAGAGGAAACCATCTTTGAACCGATTTCGCAGCGCACGCAACGTAAATCCAGAAACATGAATAACTTTCCCCTTTTTTATCTTTACTAATATATTATATTACGCATTTTTATTTTTGTTACAATTATTTGACACGTTGTACAATAATAATTATAGATCAAGTAAATTGGTGCCAGTGGTAAAAAAGATACTATTTAATGAAAGATATTTCTGTATATTGCCACAAAATAAAAAATACAAGCTAAATTCGTGATCTAAAACTTGTGGCATGTCGGGATTTAGACACTGATGACTAATAAATTATAAATACATATATGTATTCTTACAGAAAGGATCTTCTCGCCAGACACGTAAAGGTACACAAGCTCAGTGACAAAGTATTCGAATGTGACACTTGCAGTAAGGTATTCCATCGAAGGAGTAATCTCAGGTGAGATCTATACAAGTGTACCGGTATATTTCCTTATATTATTTGGCTGATTCAAGGCATGCTACATACTGTAATTAAAACCTTTACATAGTTATAAAATAAAGATATTAGCTTATTATGTTGTTGAAGCGGTCGTGATCAATATTTGCATATGTAATCGGCAGGACGCATATGCGAGTGCATGAGAACGGCGGCAATGGCAGCAGCAGTTCGTGCTTGTGCCTCTATTGTGGACGTGGCTTCTCCAATTCTTCGAATCTGATCGTGCATATGCGCAGACACACCGGCGAAAAGCCATACAAGTGTGATTTCTGCGGTAAAGGTACAGTTCACCCCTATGAAGTATTGCATTTGTTTCGTAAAGTCTACGACATATAATTTGTACTCTATACTATTTATAAAGCTGAGGAGTTTGTTTGTTTGAACGCGCTCAACTCAGAAATTACTAGTTTGAACCGAACAATTTTTTGTGTTGGATAGAGCATTTATCGAGGAAGGCTATAGGCTATAATACATCGCGATGGGACTTAAAGGAGCGAAGAAAAAGGGTGAAATATGGAAACGGGGAAAAGAATTCATTCCTGTGGGTTTCCGATACGTACGCTGCGCAAACGTACGGGTTCAAGATACCCAAAAAATATTTACGAAAGAATGATTCCTTTTTAAAGAATCTAAAAAAATGTCCGCCATATTATATATATATCTATCTTTTAAGATTAACTTGCAAGAACAACGGGACGCGCCCGACGTCGTTAGAAATTCACAAAGATAAGGAGGTTTGCAAAAACAAATTGGAAGTCGCTGACACAGCTAGTAATAAAATAAGTTTAATACTAATTCCCCCGTGGGGCATGGGGCAAACCCATTTCTCATTCCGTTTCATTTACAGGCAAGTAGTTGATCAGACTTCTGAGCCTTGCCTGACGGAAACAGTCTAATGATTCCTTGGAATTCAAACCCAGCTCTCGCAATTACGCAATGCTAGCCAACACGTTTCACCACCTAGCTATTGAGGCTGTCAAGAACCTTTACTGATGTGAAGAAAAAAAATGAAAATGACCTGTCAATATTACCTATATATTATTACAGAATATTATCTGTTTCTTATTCATTTCAATACAATAGTTTTAATTATTAATGGCTTTGTCCTGACTAGTGTGAATCAAAGAGTATTCTCTGTATGATTCGATGAGAGAAAGATTCCCAACATATCATGCCTAAGGAAGTATGAAAGGGGGTTGTATTTAGTATAGGTCAAGGAAATTTCTTGTTCCAATCTTAAAATTGTCAACTGTCGTGTTGGTCATAATGAAATAAAGCTGTAACTGTATTTTATTTGTGTAAATTCTTTGTGCAGGATTCCCACGCTCGTCGGATCTGCAGTGTCATAGGCGGTCGCACACTGGTGAAAAGCCTTGTGTGTGTGGCATTTGTGGAAAAGGTAAGATCCACTTAAATGTTCTTTACATAAATATAATATTAAAATATCAATGATACGAACCTGACCTGAACCAATGACAAACGGTACCGAGGCGCCATCTATATCTCGAGATAATATGCGGTATACCTATCAGGTGATTCTGGGTTTGAGTCCTTGCTGTGCTGTGAAATTTGTCTTTCTTTCAATAGGTTTCAGTCGCAGCAACAAGCTCTCGAGGCATATGCGAGTGCACACTGGGGCGAAGCCCTATAAGTGTGTATATTGCGAGAAGGCGTTCTCGCAGAGCAATGACCTCACACTGCACGTCCGCAGACACACCGGCGACAAGCCGTATGTTTGTGAGCTTTGCGGTGACCGATTTATACAGGCAAGTCTCAAAATTTGTTTTGGTGGTATTTGCTCTTCCTTAATTTCCAGTAGATTCCAAGTTAATTCTTATAGTATAATTTTAGTTTATGGTTTTGATAATCTTAAACCTTATCAAATAAATGCACTGTGTAAAAAGCCTCTCGACTTTATATTTTGTGTGTGAAATTAAAGGTCAAGATACACCCAAAGTTTATAGATGCATTTTGGTTGGTCTGGAATTCCTAACATCTTACAGCTAAAAAAGGTTAAGAGCACATCGCACATAGATTGTAAAGAGCTTGGGTTTAACATTTCTATGACCGCGTTAGTTATATTAATAAGTTTTTATAAAACTAAAGTTGAACATCTGTTATTCAGGGCACAGCCCTGCAGAATCACCGTCGCGCCCATGGTCACTACACAGAGGCGCCTCCCGTGCCCACAGCCCCACCACCATATCAGCAGCAACCGCAACATAGCCTCTTGCAGCAGCGACATACAGTTCTCTAAAGACCCTAAATAATCCTGTTTTATTTCAAACGTTACTTAGGATCGGTAATGTTGTCTATATTCTTATAATATGGAATTCCTAATTATAATTAAAGGGAATACCCCTGACTACCACCTCCAAAGCAGTGGAAGCCGAAGGTTACAATCAGGTTAAAGTGAAGAATGTCATAATTTTAATAAAACTGTGACTACAAATGAAACAAATATTTTGAATATATTTTGCCTCAATTAAAGTAACAATATGGTTTTGTGAAGCAAACTAGTTCCTTATTTTTTAATAAATGAGAGAACACGACAAGGTGATTGAAGCATTCTTTGAAGAACCTTACAATTACCAACTTTACCTTTTTTACTTTTAGTCAAATTAGCACTTTCACTTTTGATGGCCTAAACGTGTAATGCCGCCTTATTTCCAACCAAAAATCTACCTTTGGAACATATTGATTTTTTAAAAGTAACCTAATTTGTAAATATGTAATGTCTGTATATTTTATTTTATGTAGGGTAGCAAAATGATATATGAACATTTGTTATAATTTTTTTTATAGTATTAACCACATCACAGATTATTATTAAGATAAAAGTTGATACCACTTTCTTCCAGATCCCGCTGGGACTACAAGTGTATGTATGTAGTTTATCCTTTCACTTATGGGGTCTTGTGTCTCTTTCTAGTCTGTATATGTTTTGTATATAGTGGTGCACACAGCTTTTTCCGTGTATTTTCCCAGCTGTAAGAATTTAATATATATTAGGGACTCATGACATTCAAAGTTGTCTTAGTATAGTATATATGTAAGTAACTAAGTTGTAATGTAATAACTATATGAATAAACATTATGATTTATTACATAATTAGTTTGAATTAGCTTACTAATTAAAACTCTATCACTAAAATCCAATAATAATGCTCTGCTATAAAAGCTTAGCGTGATCATAGATCTTAATGTTCTTTATAATGAAGATGTTATTGGGCCAAATTGTGCTATCGCAAGCAGGGATAATGTAATAAATAAATCTAGAATGCCTTATTTATTACAATTTGCACAACAAAGAAATAAAAAACTTGTATTCATTTATACAAAAATGCCATTAAGTTTTCTCTTATACATTTAGGATCATGCTTTGAACTCAGAAAAATAATGTCGAACACAGACATAAATTGACAAGGTCGATAAAATTCAAATCACTATATTCGTATTTACTATCGGAGACCTATTAGATGGGCAGTCAATTAGTCCATTTTACCTTTTATCAAAAGAAAGAAATAATTTAGATTTAATAAGTTCAAAAATATGATAGATTCCTTGTAATACAATTATGAAAGAAGCCACTAATACATACATAGAAATAACACTAACATACATAGAAATTATTAATAAATACCTTCCCTGAAAACACCAACATACAAGGAGGGGACATCATACCAATCCTTCAATCATTTATGCTGGACCACTAATATTTATCTCTCTAGTACACAACACATCCACAGCACACATCCCAGCCATTTGAATCCTTTGCTTCAGTTATCTATAAAATTGTTGAGTAAATCTGGGGACAAATCACGCCAAGCACCGTCAACGGAGACTAAGCCAATATTCATGAGAAAAACATTTTCTCATGAATATTGGCTCATAGACCCACATTAAGGAATTAATTATTATTTTACGATTTACAAGTTTATCGTTAAAAAAGAGCTGATTGGTTTCACTATGACAATGTAGCTTTCATAAACTTTTATGTTCGTAAACTACAGATACCTCAAATAACGATTTAGAATCTGTAACTGAAATACTCAATAATCGTAAGTCTTATCTGTTATAGCTCTTCCTCTATTGTATAATGAACAAGTAGCGGCACGGATCTTCAGCGCTGAACGAATCCGCGCAGGATTCGTTCAGCGCTGAAGTAAAAAATAAGGTATCGAATGGACGGAAGTGGGGTGAGGGTGAGTGAACGTCGTGTGCGCGAGCGTTGATTGGTTCACCAGTAGTGGTGTGATTCTCGAGCCTATACGACGCCATCGATTTTGTTGGTTCATTTCACTTGTTCGCGTACTTAGAGGGCAACAGTAACGTTTAGGTAATGTAAACAATATATTATAACTTTAAATTTCGTTCCTAGCATTTTTTAAAATTGGTAAGCTTCTGATTTCGACATTAGGTATTAAACCCTCTTTCCGTCCACAAAATTCAAATTGGATTGAAAGTCCACACGCGCACCATTTAGCGACAGCCTTTGAAAATATGATCATTTTTCATAATATTTTGTAAAGAACCTCCATCTTGGGCACGCCTGATATTATTCTTTGCGGCCTCGTGAATAGCATATTACTAAGACTCTGTTTTTGTCCATTTGTGATTACCTTGTGTATTATCGGTTAAGACTCTTTGTTTGATAGGTGTGTTAGTGTTCTTACTTTAAAGGAAAATCGGCAAGATGGACATGAATAGACAATCTTACCCTAATTATTTACAAGTTTGACAGGGATCATTTTAATTTTCCGCCAATTCGTTTTTCTTCATTGTTTTCTCTTCGACGCCCTTGCGTATAAATTGTTTACCGTTATCAATACAAAAAAATTGTCAAACACAAAGTCTTGCCTACGAAAATCGTCACAAATTAATTGAAAGTAATTCACCTTGTCTAATCTCAAGCATATACAGGTAATATTTTAAATTTAGATAATAGATATATGTTTATAAAAAATCTAAAAAACGTACTCTTAAGTTGTGAACGCAATTTCTAGGTTAAAATTTAATAAATTCTCTCGTAAGCTATTATTAATGTTTGAATTATCGTATTTACAGAAACATGGAGCACGACGAGAAAAATCGTGATTTAAGCTCCGAGGTGGAAGAATCAGCAAAGTCCATCAAGTGCAAGGGCAAGAAAAGGCGACAGGGCTCCAACAGGGTCGCCGCGTATCGTCCTGGTATAAAGCTGGCTAAAATAAAGGATAAAACAAAGTGTATAACAGTCAACAAACACGTAATAACGAGTCGCAGTACAACAAGAAGGAAAAAGGAAAAGAAAATAAAAAAACTTTACCTGAGGAATTTCCGAAAGCAGGGTGCAGCTGGATGGATCCTTACCAGGACCAAAACATAAATGAAGATCAGAGCACTAGTTCCTCAGATGAGGATCAGAGCACTAGTTCCTTAGATGAGGATCTGAAAAGAGCAATTGCTGAATCCCTGAAAGATATGGAAGATAGGGTGACCCATAGGTCAATCTAAATATAAAAAAACCACAACTACTAATCAGAATTAGTAGTTGTGTTTTTTTTTTATATTTAGATTTTTGTAATTTTGCTTATACTTAGTTCACCTTCTTATTTCTTAAGTAAGAAAAAGTTGATTAAAAAATGTGCATATATTTTTTGTTGATTAAGGAGATAGGACTCCGTACAGTTATGTTTGTAAGTTTTCACGTTGACATTGTCTTACCTGCATTGAGTCTATATATCATGTTGATTAAATAAATAATTGAAAACTATGTTTTATTCCCTATCATTTTGTAATTAATTGATAGTTTTAGATATGCTGTTTGGGTAGCATAGATTTAGTAGCTTTTGATAATAATAATCCCAAAAATATTTTGTCAATACTAAGTTAGGAGAAAAATTAAACAATAAAGTTGAAACTGTTTCATTTTATTGAATTGAAAAAGTGAATTCATATTGTGGTATAAAACTACTTGAATTATTTAAATGATACCCAAGGTTGGTTCAGCCAACTCTTTTAAAACAAAAGTTACCTTATATTTTGTTTTAGTCTATATATTCGATTTGTTAGCTAGAAGATTATCTATTGCATCTTAATTTCTTAGACAATTTTTAGATTAAAGTATTAAATGGTAAGAACTTCTACTGAATTTTATACTTTAATAGCATTTAATTTGATTATCTTTCCTGGGTTGGTCTAAAATGTATACTAATATTATTAATGTGAAGAGATTTTTTGTTAGGAACCATTAGTTTAAATTGAAAAATTGTATTTGTGTTGGTTAGAGCATTTACAAGGCAGGTTTTAGGCTAAAAACATTATGCGGCGAACGATGAGAGCGAAAAAGCAGAAGGTAGTGTGGAAAGAATGGGGAATTTTTTTAGGCTGTGTTAGAAAGATGGAAGAGCAGAATGGTTTACATTAGCTTCCATCAAAAAACTGATTGCCATAATATGAACTAAAGCGCGTCGAAACATGTGACATGAATCATACTATGAGAATGTAGAATTCATATATTGATGACTCTACAACTTTATATTTAAAGTTTGGGTTGTCAAAATGAGTTAATTGGAGGTAATTTAAAAATACGTTGTTCGCAACGTAAAGCTAACTTTTCAAAGGGATTACGAAGAATTGATGATATTAGGTACAGATTGATTTCGTATTTCTACGGTAAAAAGTTAGTACGTCAACGGGTTTGGTTATTGCAAGCTAGGTAGTCGTTTCTAATCCTAGGAATCATAAATACTATATTATAGACGTCTGATCTATTACTTGTCCTGTAAAATCGATCGGTAAATCGGATAAAGAACTCTTATTTTCTCTCCATCTATGGGTAAGCAGGATTTCACTTTCATATTAAGTATTTATATTCACGATAAATAAATATCTGAATATTTCTTCAGTTCCAAATTAGCAAAAAGTTGTTATTGTTTACCGATTTTAAAGAGTTTTTTTGGTCCTATTATATAGATATCACGCTGTGATGATCACAGAGCTGATAAATCTAAGGGAAATTAGACCATACAGCGGCTAGCCAGGTATTGCGGGCGGGAAAAAAATGCTGGTTTATTGATAAAAAATAAGTAAATATGATGCAAATATTCTTATTTCTTCTTTTTTATATTATTGTTTAACTTAAAGTTTGATCTTTCGCTTTGCTTACATCGCTTCGATCATATCTACTTAAATGTGATGAATTTGATTTCTTTTAATTAAAACGAACTTCTCACTCAGTTTTGAGATGTCGGTCGGTGGTTACGCAGAGATCTTTAGAAATAAAAAAAAAACGAAGAAAAAAATCATTATTAAATTATATTTCTAAAAAGTATAGGTACATAGTTTTTAACTTGCTTCATGTGGGTTGAAATGTATGTCTTCTTTGGGGTCTATACCTCGGATTTTTGGCAGCTCAGTAGCGACATGTAAAATTGGTGCTACAGTAGCACTTTTTGCGACGGGTACTTCATTATTAAACATTTCACACCGCCGTCCTTTGCACTGTAAAATTAAATAGTACGCATCACCTCTATATACTCACTATCTTTAGTTGTCTTATAAGGAGCTGATGCGTTCAACAGTAGCAATATATGGGTAACAATTAACGGGTCGTGGGTTCGATTACGTCGGATTTAACACGCTTTAAAAAATCCTTATATATGAATAAAATCAGAATATTATATGAGTTGTAGGAATATCGAAATCCGTCCAGGTTACGCACCACCACTCCCAAATCAAAATATGTATGTAGTCAGCGCATAGTTTTAGTTAGACGGCCTTTACCTTCCAACATTATGATTTATTATTAGTTCGTTTAGGCGAAAACTATCTTTGCTGCATAAATGCTTATATTGTTTGCGCATGTTTATCCAATGGAAAGAATGTAGATCCCTTATTTTATCGAATTTTATTACACGCAGAAAAACGAATTAGTTTCATTTAGCCAGCTTGCCGCATTAATATATTTAGAGAGGTAAAAAAATACCGACTCATAAACACTTACAAAGGATTCACACGAAGCCCCTAAGCACTGTAAAAATAAGATTACAATTACACGTATAGTTTTTGTTGCGAGCTCTTATTAGACGAAGTTACAGTAAGTATTATATGTATACTGATTTTAATCCTATTTATTTGGTTAATTATTGTTAATTGTGATAATTTTTAGAAATGTTCTGTCAATGTATGGTACATTGGTAATTTATTGTTTTTCTGAGCTTCGAACACTGTGATTAATTTAATACTAGGCAATGCGTTTGAAACTTTCAACACTCACCGAAGATGTACATCGTTTGGCGTGACACTGTGCATAAAAATTATACATGATTTATCCTTACTACATTATATAGCCTTATAAATGCGAAAGTAGCTCTGTCGGTCTGTCTGTTACTCTTTCACGCCAAAACTACTGAATGAATTTGAATGAAATTTGGTACACACATGGTCTACACCGTGAGAAAGGACATAGGCTACTTTTACTTTTTATTGCGAAAAGGGGGTTGTAAGGGGTTAAAAGGGGGGCTGAAAGTTCAAAGTTGAAGTTGAAATGAAACTTTCTTCTTTGGCTTTTTGGGATGGGAATAGGAGTGGGAGAGAGAGTTAGAGTAGTAGTGATGTGAGGTGAGAGTGTTGCGGCAAAGAAGCACTTACAACATACACTGGCTGCGATAAATGCGCAATATTATGTATTATACAAAAACATAAATTAATAAACAGCCTAAATAATTAAAAATTCTACTCCAAGTCACTATTTCGCGCGAACGAAGTCGCGGGCATAGCTAGTAACCTACAAGTACACTAAACATTTTTGTGAAGAGAATATGCAACACAGTCGGACTTGTTGGTGGAGATACCGGGATGCACCCGACTTTTGTTCGTAGGGTCGGAAGTTCGATCTCGTCAAGGGGGGCGTAACTAGCGTATTCCTATTATTATTTTAACAAAATTTAAGGTTTATCGCAACGTAGATAATTATTCAGAATTTACTAAGTGAAGACATTATGGACTGAGCAGAACCGTTGCGCGGGAGGCGGAGGATTTAACTCGCTTCCGTTACCACACACCCTCGACGGGCTCGTCGGTCGAATGGCAATGTATGACTGATGATCAATGGGTCGTGAGTTCTGTTCCCAGTTGGACCTGGCAACTGGTTTCTAATTTTCCAATCTTCTAATTTTTCTAATTGGATATAGTCTGGAATATTAAATGGGTGGTAGATGGAAAATCCGTCAAGCTGGATCGTGTTTCGGTTTCAGTTTCTGGATTTCCAAATATCCAAAGCAAAAAATAGGTCGACAGCGCAACTTGCGTAGAGGCTGGGGTATATCACCTGCCACCAAGTGGACCCAATGTCTTGCCTGTCATCCTCTATCAGTAATAAAAAAACTTACGTATATAGCAATTGAATAAATGTACCTCTGATATACAATCCGTCCCTGAACACTGAAACCGTTTACTGAATACAGAAAGGGTAATCGGGTGATATGACGGTCAATGTAAAGGATACCAACACTCATAAAAACACCAAACTTAATTTATTCCGTAGGGTTAAAAGTAACTTAAAATGGTTCGATCCTTGTTTAATGATATTTACTTACGTTACTATGAAGCATAAATTTGTCCTAATATGCCGCTAGAGCTAGAGTAGCCTAACTGTAATTTTATGACTTGAGTTATTTATATTTTTGTGGTCTAAATATTAATCTACAAGAGTACAGTGACCGAAAATTGTTAACATAATTTTTGTACAAATATCTATTAGTACAAATTAATTTTCGCCTAGGCTAATTGCGCATTTTTATTTTCCTTCTTATTGAAAATTATTTTCCTATTAATAAGCCACTCTGCCTCTAGCAGTCTCATATTTCGTATTCATTCTTTAAATAAACCAGTAAATAGAGACCTAATTCTGGTTGTTCTCGAACAGGCATGACGTAGTAAAAGGTCAATCAAACCGTCGAGATGAAGGTCCTAAACCGTGAATAATCATTATGTGGTGAGTTTAACACCTACTGAGTTTTACAGCAATCTGGGTAAAGTCACTCGAGAGGCTAGTGTTAATGGCAGAATATGGAGCTAGATAATTTTAATCATAAATTATACACCGTTTTCACGGCTATCGTTCAGCATATCATTGTTTTTCGGGCTGTTCGTACGTGAGCGAGAAGAGTTCTCTACGTTTCGACGTCACGAGCGGACGGCATCATCAGGAGATGTCGTTACCTCCTCGATGAATTAAATTGTGAATTTTAATCAGATTTTATCACAGCGTGAAGCGTAAGGGGGGAATTACAATAGATATCCTATCGGCCTATACAGCCTATCGGTGGTAATTACTCGCCTGTAAATAAAAGAGAACTAAAATTCGTGGCTTAAGACACTCACCATTGCATGACATTGCTCTCCAGTACACTGTAAGAGAAACTTGTTTTTAAAGTGATCCCGCTTTATTAAGTAGTTAGTATCGTATGGTTAATAATAATATACGTCGTGGGTAGTGGGTTCGATGCCCA